CANACACACACACACACACACACACACACACACACACACACACACGTACACCTATTTCAGAAATCGTTGTCGCACTAAACGCCTCAAGCAACGAGCCAAGACCGCAGAGAACGCCGGTACTTTTAGCTGTAATTAGTTTATTCATGGTGCATTTTCATTTATTGACTTCACAAATTGCTTGAGATGATAATTAGTGTAGAGCTATAGCCACTTGCACTTATGAACCATGAATAAATCAAATATAATTAAAAATACGTTCGTTCTCTGGAGCCTTGGCTTGTTACTTGAGGCTCTTGGTGCGTCAACGATTTTCGAAATAGGTGTGTATATATATATTATATATATCCCCTGTTTGATATTGAGTGCAAACAATATATATCCGTGAAACACTAATTACTAAATCGTTCAAAATAGTGCTAGTCAAACAAAAGAAAACAAATTAATTAGCTAAAAATAGTATAACTTAGTATTACTAATATTTCACGGATATATTGTTTGCACTCTATTGTAAAATATAAAAATTATATAATTATATGTGACGAAGCTAACAAATGAATAAAATGAATAAATACCGTAAGTTATAGGCCGCAAATTGACCAATTATAGCGAGTGACTGGAATTACCGTTCATTTAATATGCCGGATTTTGATTCCAAACRGCGGCTAAGTTAATGTTTCATTACTTAAATATACAAGTCATAAATTTACATAACTGCTATTTAGGCCATTCTTATTTCCTTGTCTGCTCTATCTAATTAGTATAAGATGTATTGATCGAGAACCATAGTGAAATTAAAAATGGGGTATTTAAAATGATAATAGGTTAAACGATTTAGAATCGAATGAATGCTTAACAAAATCTTCTAAAACTCTTCTTACGTATAGAAACTGAGAACACTAGTTAAACTAGGTTTACTAGACATTCACGYGTTTACCATACTCTTGAATGATCTATAATTCAACCGAGTTTGCAGTTCTGCGGTCCACTGAAATTCTCGTGCCTTCATTATAATCTTTTGATAAAATTCTCGATGCTCGATCTGTCGTATATAAACTGGCTTTGGCTTCAAAAGTTTTCCCATGAAAGACGCCTTCCTGTATGTCAAGGAGTTCCTCTTTCGCTTTGCTACATTTCGATGCTTTTGAAGTCATTAATAATTCATCTTCTCTCATATCTTTAGYAATCTTATATCTTCCTAGGGTAGATTACCGCCGAATTTCAGGAATGATAAAAAAAAAGCTGGCACTATTATCTTATAAAAATGATGAATCTCGCCTTTCAGTAATTCCAAACCGAGACTTTTCAAGGTCCGACAAGATTTTTTTGGAAGATTTGAAGAATTTTTACAACGCTGGTCCAAAATGTTATCAATAATTTGGATACATCCATTAAAAAGAAACTTCGAATAAAACTGAGAAGAAAATAATGGACTTACTTGAGCTTGTTTACTTCTTTGGAGAGCCACATTTTGAAGAACTCGAAGAGTTTCTTGCAAACTAAACGTGGTCATGTACAAATCGTAGAAGAAATTAAAAAGGTATAAATATAGCCTTCAAACTGTCAACTCTTTCCAATCACCTTAATCGTTGCCGGCAAAACTTGACCAAAAATCTAAAAACACTATCAATCATTCATTCGGTTATCAGCTCCGGATGAATTACTGAAACTACAGCGAATAGCGTTGACGATGATGTATTATACATAGCCTGAAGTAGTTACTATAATTGAAATGTTAAAGCTTAATAGTCTTAAATATTGTGTGCTTGGAGTTTCATTGGTAGAAATGCGATAAATTAGGCGTAGAAAGCTATTTTCCTCTATTGTAAACTTTTTCATATTTTAGTAGTGTGTAACAATGGAACTATCTAGTGAGTTGTATTGATTGCCTGTGGAGATATTTATATTGGCTAAGCCGTCACGAAAAGAAATCAGTTGCTGATGGGATAATTTCAAGCTGCTAAAAAATACTAAATAATGACTAGCTAAATCATTGACTGAAAATTCGGCCACCAATTTGAATGGGAATGAGTACTGAGCTTACTTAGATAAGGCTGTACTGTGTTTTAGGCTAGTGTAAAAAAAATGCCAATGCCACAGAAAAACAGAACAAAATTTTACCACTTATTTCTCGCAAATAAAATTACATTCACGCGTGCCCATCAACTCAACAGTTCATATTTGGTAAGCTTACCTTACTTTGAAGTGAACACAGATTTCGTTTTGGTGATTTTCCCGCCATTTAAAGCTTTACAATGCGGAAAATATGGACCAAAACTTGCAGATATTATAGCGAAGAAACAGTGTCCACCATATTGAATTTAGCTTAGAGACCTGGCCTTTGACAAAGGAAGCCCAAGACGTTTTAAAACCACAGGGTTCACGCGCGAACTACAATATAAGTTTGATATAAAGTGGAAGTAGCCAATTTTTTTGTCGTGTCTTGTGTGTGACCTGTATGTGAAAAATGCCCATGCTAGCATCAGATAATTATAAACTTGATACTTTGACTATCTGTTCGCTCTGTGTTATAAAGTCTTACAAAACAACCTGAATGCGATCCGCTACAACTGTGTCACACAACCCCACACCGTTTTTTAAATCAATTTATTAAACGTGGTAAAATCGGATCAATATGATGACATACATGGTAGATATAATTTTCTATCTGTCAACCAACATATACTTGAAAATACTCAATTTTGAAAGACTCCAGTAATTTCTAGTTTTTAATCCTTCGAGCTTGTTGAATCGGATAAAAGTTACTCTATAACAGCTTGTTTTAAAATACAGGATAAAAAGGAATCACTCTTTACACGGGAAAACATTTTTCACTAGTAAATTTGAGCTGAGTAATAATTGTTTGCATTTTTCTTAAAAATCGAGTATTGCTATTTCAGTTGTTATGTTGTTTTTTCGTGTGTTTGTGGTAGAAAAAGCTATTTCGGAATTACAAGCGATTAGCTAGTTGATGTTTYGATATTGATTACGATATCTTTGAATAGCTTTGAATAATTGCTGATATAGGATATCATCACAAAAACGATGACGGAAGATAATAAAATTACAATTATGTATAACGATCCTTATCTGCCGTGAACAAACCGAACAGAAGAAAATGCTAAAGCATACAAAAATAGCGAAACAGCCCTGAAAACGACATTGAATACTGATATAATAAAAGATGTTTTGCCTTTGTAAGGCCTGTTACTTGATGTGCGATTTCTGTGGTGATTTTGATCCAGTGTTTTGGTCATAGTCAACGAATAGTAAAGGATTAACCAATAACGTTATATTCTGCCAGACACCAAGATTACCTGGACAAAGTCTCTTTAGAAACATAAGTCAAACTTGATTTATCATATTTTCAAAAATCGCCTCTTGAAAAACCTACCAAAATCGCCTGTCTAAACGGAGCTGTAGAGTACACGCTAGTGAAACGAAATGTTTATATAGACATTGGTTATTCGCGTGCATCAGATTATTTTAATTCCTTTTGTGATTATTATCAATCATTACAAAATTGCATGCCCGGCTTACAAGAAATTTGAAAATTTATTTAAGAATAACCACATAAAAAATGATAACGGAATTATAATAGTATGTATTTTTTTTTTGATTATATTTGATTAAAAATAAACGGTACCTTTGTAAGGTGAGTTAAGCTGATTCCGACAACTGAATACCTCGTTATAAAGTCCTCAGTCAAACTTGAGAAGAATGTATCACCATCTGACACTATCAGGTCCGCTAGTTTAATGCTCCTAATTTTAATTAAGAACTGAAATTTACTTCATCAGAAATTAAGAAATCCCAAAACAAACAAACAAAACGAAACAAACAAACAAAAAACAACAACAATAACAAAAAAACAACAAACAAACAAAAAACAACAACAACAACA